ACCAGGGAAGCCCTAAGATTCCATTTTATTGTCTGAAAAATGAAGGAGCTGGTAGAGAAGATCTTTGAAGTTCCTTCCCTCCTTCAAATTCTATGATTATAAATGAGGTAGATTTTCTGAATTATACCACCCACATAGTAAAACTTCAGTTAAAAAGAAATATGAAAATCCTCAAACCAATGTATACTTTAGTACCATACAGGAAACTTTCAATGATGGTGTGGCTTAAATACATAATAATTAATGACTTGAACACAATTAATGACTTGAACTAAAAATCAATCAATCAATTAATCTAAACTAAGTGTGTAGAATTTAAAGGGAAATCATCAATATGACTCTCCCTGAGCCCTGAAATATTTGAAGGCTTTGAAGAGGAAAACAAAGTCAAGATTTAGAGATAATACCCATAAGATCTTTGAGCCAAATTGAATGGTCATGCAAAAAGCATTTACACCCTCTCCATGACGTTTTTCCTTGAGTTATTCCTTTCTTTCAAATGTTCCATCCCTAAACTATCTGCTTTGTTACAACACTCCAGATCGCCATTTTCTCTTCTACTAACTTTGAAGCTAATCCGTTTTATGTGACATTGGTAGGTTTTCAAAATCCTTCTTTGCCTCCCAGATAGACTAAACTCTTAGTAAACAGCAACTATATCTCTGACTTCCCTACTTATTCCTATCACAGGTTTCCATTTCATTATTACCTAATGCAGTCTAGCGGCCCCACTGCAGCATCAAAACATTGAATAATCAATGGTTACATTGAGAGACAGAGAGAGAGAGACAGAGAGAGAGAGAGAGAGAGGAACTAAAAAGTAGAAATAACTCTCCTTTTACTCAGTTGTTCACTAGGTCTTCTAATGTATTCTGTATTCAACCTCTTTATTTTCTCACACCCTCACACCTTATCTTAGGCCTTTATCTTTTGATACCTGGGCTTTTTAATAGCTTCCTAATTATTTTCTGTCTCTACCTCTTCCTGCTAATCCCATTAAAATGTAATCTAGCCTTTCAAGACCCAAATCAAATTTCCTATATTTTTTGTAGTCTTGCTAGACCACTCACTCCAAAATGGCTTGTCTTCCTTGGAACCAATTTTCCCCTTTTATTTTTCTTATTCAGAAATTAGCTGAATATGATATGATAACACTTGTATTTTCCCACATAGTATATTTTTAATCTTGAACATTTTTTACGTATCTCTGTAACCAGATGGTAAGCCTAGGAAGTTCCCTTAATATAGTATATACTTGTTGATTTGATCTATTAACTTGATAGGAATAAAATGAATATTTGACCTTGTACAGAATAAATAACATCTTTTTGGCATTCTGTGGTAGACAAATGAAGTTAATGGTTTATCTTCTAAGGTAACTGTGGTTTATCTGGAGAAATCTTTAGTCTGGGCTAGTAAAATAATGTTAGGTTTTGTGGATTAACATCATGAGAAGATGAAGTCTGTGTTTGTTGAGAAAGAAAATTTTGTAATTTTCTGTAACTGTAATTAGGAGCAAATCAGAGATTAATGATGCATTATATTCTAGAGCTTTAACTGATGAGCACCAAGAAATGGCTTTCTCGACTTTAAATGGTTTGCAAAATATTATTTCTATACTTTGCTCCATGCACAGAAAATAATGAAAACTGGGTCTGCTATTCAGAAAATTCAATATTTATTCTAACGTGAACTGTTGAGTTATGAGAATATTTCATACACTCCAGAAGAGCATAAAATCTACCTCTACTAATTAGTTTCTCTATGAAAGTCTTCCAGACAATTATAGGCTAATACCACTGGTCAATGCTTTAGGTAATTTTCATTAAAGGTATAGTGTTGCTACCAGATGAATTGCTTCTTATAAAAGCACTTACCACAAAGTCCTACAATGGAAGGTTAAGTGCTATACTTAATTACTAATTTCAATCCCTATTACCTATATTTTACAGTGCAGGTACTTAAAAAGGAACCATATACAGTCTGTTGGTTTCCACTTTCCTGATTACAGGATTTAGCGGTAAAAGCATTAGTCCATCTGTTTTTCTAATGAATAATAACCAAAACAACAAAAAAACTTTTAAAATAAAAATAGTCATACCACAAACCAATATAAAAGAGATATGCTAGACATTTCTATTGAGCTCATACATAAGATCACTTTGTTCTAAAAACTTTAATCTAGATGACACATACTTGTAAATTTGTATTCAGTCTTTATGGCATTGTAGCAGATGAAGCTCTGAGAGAAAAAGGTATTTGAAATTTTCATGGCTTGCTTCCTACCTCAACATCATGCTGAAATGCACACAGAGCAGATGATTAATAAAATGCTTGATGACAACCATGGTGACTCCCCTGAGTTCTTTACACATTGATCGTTAACTTTTTATATGTATATATCGAAATTCCTCACAGCTGCTCTAATTTTCTCAAGGGCAGATTCTGTGTTTTACCCTTGCTTGTATCCTTCAGAATAACTGCAACTTGGCTCACTTTTGATTTATTAATAACATCTAGAATACTTTTTGGCGAAAGGACACTTAGAATCTTTGACTAAATATAAAAGGTGGCATCTAAATTGAGTATTGCTGAAGAGTCGTTCCTTAACTATCATGATTTTGCCAGCTTCTGATTTTTAAATATATTTTATATTGTTTCGTATACTGAGCATCCATTTAATTGGTACATAAGACATCATATGTGTTAAACAACTATTAGTCTAGAAAAAAATATAGAAATATTTGTTGACTTAGTTAATTAACACTGATCCAATCTCAGCTACTGACATTCAAATTGGACATTAGCATACCACAAAAAGACAGGGATCATGTCTTTTTTGGACTATGCCTAGAATATAGTATCTGGTATGTGCACAGTTAAAGGGTTGTTAGTCAGATAAAATATATTAAAATAGTGAGGTATAGAAATTTTTAAAAACATAAAATATTTATCCAAGCGCATTAGTACATTAGAAAACGAGGTTCTGATTATCTATGCTTGGGAAATGCATATTATATTTCTCTTCTAGAGATTCATTATGGTATTAATATAACAAAGTACAAGCATAGATATTTTTAACTTAGTTAACCCAGAATTTCCCAAACTAACTTGAGAGTGAGACGTCCTCTCTCCTGTCATAAGTCACCATCAACATTCTCTAGAATAGGGCTATTAAAGATACTAGTTTGAAAGTTTAAGAGTGAAAAGTTACTAAACTAAGATAATTTTAAAGAATTAACTGGTGAAACAAAGCTAGGCTTCAAGAGGCAACTGCCACACTGTAATAGTAACAGGATTTATCATTTTACATGGTCAGGCTCACTGTTCACGGATGACAACACCCCAGGAGCAGGGTCTAGATCTCATCCTACTTTATATCTTCAGTGGTGTCCAGTGCAATGACTTCCTCTCAGTAAATAGGTATCGATTAATCTGGATTTTAGGAAATTCACCAGTTTACGTTTCTGTTGTTTCACTAAGGCTGCATTCATCATAAAAATTACATTTCTACTAGGATTCAGTACATGCAATAAGGGATTAGCAGGGGCTATGTAGCACTGCATACATATTTAAGTTACTTTCTTTCCAGATCTTCCATTCCTTAGTCTTATTAAAGTTGGTAACAGAAGGTGTGCATTCTTGTAATTGTAGTTTAAAACCGGGATAATTCCAAGGATATCAATTCAGCAAATATTTACTGAGTGTCTACTATTTGCCAGTATTATAAAAGGCACTGGGCATATTATTAACGTGCTTGCTTCTGAATTTTGTCATAGAGCAGGGTATTTTTTAATTACATTTAATTCAGCAAATATTTGTAAAGCACCAGATTTATAGAATAGGTTTGAAATGTGGCTTGAAAATGCAGATGCCGTGAATTACAAAAGGTCCAAAAGGGTATCACAGACATTTCATTCCATGATTGTGCATAAGTAGTACTAAAAAAAATTGATCTTTATTTAGTAAGTTAGTTACTTCCTCGAATTATTTCTTTCAAGAAACAAATACTGTAATAGAGAAATTTATATATAAGTTTTGGTAATCATTTTTATTGTGCAAAATAAAAATTTCTTTTTATAATCTTTCTTTGTACTAATCTTTCTTTATCTTTCTATACACAGGTAAGTGAGACTGGTGTTTTTAGTAACCTCTTTTGTACTAAAATATGAAAAGGATAATAATTTCAGTAAAATAACTTTGGACTTTTAATTTGGATTTTACTTTAAAATAGCATTTTAAAAATTGAGAGTATATGCAATCACAAGTAACACTGGTTTAAGTTTCTAATCTACTGCCTTTGTTTCAATAACAGTACTGACAAAACTCATTAATGATGAACAGGATAATTTTTATTTTATCAATAATAGCTTGACATACATTTTATAGACTTGACATGACTAATACTACTAGTGTCACAGAATCTTTGCAAAACCCCTTGGTTATATGACAGTGAAAACAAATTCCATTTACTTACAGGTTCTTATAACTGCTGTTTTACGGTACTATATATAGTTCCTTTACTATCTGTTTGTCCCATGGTCCTCCTGCAGCTTTCATGAGTTTGAGCTATGTACCACCATCGAAGGAACTGTCCTCCTATTTTCTTTCAGAGGAAAATGGTATGATATTCCCTCTCTTAGGTTTAAATTTTAACTTTGTTACTTTTGACAAAGCCTTTCCTTTGTTCAAATGCAAGAATCCGGTTAACAAAGAGCTTTGACATGTTGTGCCTTTTATGTGTGCATTTTTCTGGTTTCACTGATGTCCCGAATTTTGCAAACGATAACGTGTGCCTTCGAGTTCTCCTATAAAATGCCATTTGTACACTGTATCAAGAACAGCTTAGGACAGCATTACATTCACATGACTCTAAAATCTGATAAATACTTGACGGTTTCTCCGAAAACCCACAATTGGGTGAAACGGCCGAAAACAATGTTTCGTTTTCCAGTTTGTTTTTCACAAAATCTTCCCCCGATACACATTCACTGGCTTACCTGCAGGGTAGCGCTCAATCACTGGCCAGCTGTCCACCTGTAACGTGGCATTGCCACCACTCCTCGTGAAACGGACTACATGGTATTTCCCATCGTTAATGATTGCATTGGACTCTTCGATGGCGATGTCATCTGTCCCAACATTAAATTTAACTCCGATTTTTCCTTGATGCTGGAAGGGAGGAGGGGAGTAAAAAGAGTTATATGAAGTTGTGCTGATTCATCATCATTTAATAAGAATTACATACAGGGTATTGCTCAAAAACATGCTTCAGAACAACAGCTGCTTTCCTCCGATTTTACTTCTGAAAAGCTCCCGCAAGGTTCTTGACATTTGGATAAATCTGAAGCATCTCTTTCATGGATAACTGATATTCCAAAAGACACGCTTTCAAGAGAATTGAGCTGCCTTCTTCCCAGAGGCTGCCACAGACAAGGCACACAGCTGCCTGTGTTAAAGGATATACTTTCATGTTCTTTAACATAGCTCCTTTAATCCACGCCTTCCATTTCACAAGAAAAATGAGGCTTGAAATTCTCCCTTTTAATAACTGGTGAAATCAGAGCAATGAAGTCTATTTCTAAATACAAAGTGGACAAAAGCTCACAATATAGAAAATCACTCTACAGGGTATGGGCACACAGACAGGCATTTAATGAGTACAATCATTATTCACACACAAAAAAATCATCATATGCTAAGAATCTGAAATTCACTGAATTTCTTTATTTTGCAGATGATGAAACTATGACACAGGAAGGTGCAATGATTTGTTCAAGGTCATATAACTAAATAGAGGGGTGCTAGAGTTAGAATTCAGTTCCCTCATTCTTCATTTATACCTAAGCTAAGATGAAGTTAAGATATGGGTATCTAAAAGTAACTACCTCTCTGAATTATGCAAAGCAACGTTCTAAGTGCAAAGTTTGTGGCTGTTAACTTTATAATTTCATAATACAAGGAAGCAAAGAGAAACATGTGTTTATGTCCTCTGTCGTTGAGAAGCCTCTTCGCTAACAGCAGGGCTGTCAACTCTACCATAAGTTCAGTTGGTTTTTAAAGCATGTGGATTTGCCCTTAATCAGTAGCACAGAATACTTGCACTGTGGGCCCTTGTCAGAGTACACAACCTCAAACTGCCTGCAGCTCACCTTTTATCAAACCTCAGTTGAGAGGAACGACATGGGGGGAAAAGGGATGTAAAGGACATATAGTCCATCCATTCCTGCAGAAATTTAAAATCAGAATTTCAGAAACCAGAAGATTTGGACCACATCCTCTTGACCTCTTGCTGGATTCTCATCATTGAACTAAGCAGTAAGAGCATGGCATCAGTTTACACTGAGGGTTATTGTAAAAGAAAAAAATCTTGTATAACACTGCATTAATTGAAGGGAAGTATTTGAAGATGTTGTTTGGGACACTGATCTTGTCACTGTCCCCTTCTATATTTCTTCTTCCTGGTTCTTAGTGTCCATAAAAGATCTCTTTCTTATAATAGGTTAGTATGGTTTTTATTTTTGTGTGTTTTGATTTGTCTGGGGCTTGATGAAAAATATGACTTAAAATCACATTTCCTTTCTGACTGATTATTAGGAAACTCAGAGTCAAAGTGAGTAGGGAAACTTTACAAGCTGCATAGACCCCTGCTATACTGTTTTCCCCCGGGCTTATTTTTATTTTCTACCGTATTTCTCAAGATCCTTATTTTTAAATATATGCCATTGTAAGGCATTTCGGTTTTTGGTAGATTGATTCAGATGACAACTAAACAACAGGATTCCAATAAACACTAACCTCTTATCCAAGGTCCTATAAAGACATTTTAAGACACCTTTTAAGCATAGGTCTTTGGTGCAAGCACTCATTGTTTTGTCACTTTGGTAGAATTCCTATTTGCTCATTTTCAGTAAAATATTTAACATGGCATATTTATATTTTAACACATATGTGATATAACTCCACAGGAAACTTTTTAAGAATCTTATTTAAGAGGTTTATTATCTTTATTTAAACACTTGTATAGTGTTCTAAGCACTTTACAAATACTAACTCGTATTTCTCCTAACAGCCCCAGGAAAGAGGTACTATTTTATCTGCATTTGACATATGAGGAAACTGAAGCACAGAGTGACTAAGTAACTTGGCTAAGGTCATGCAGCTAGAAAGAGAAAAGCTGTGATTCAAACCCAGCCAGTCGGGCTCCAGATGTTGAGTTCCCACTCATTTCACTAGGCTGAATTTTAGTAATATTGGGTCATTCTCTAGCTGCAGTTAGCAGATTTGGTAAATCTGGTTGTTCTTTGTTACCTGTTTTATCTTTCTGGCTAGCACCACGGAGCCTCTTATTATGCTTTGCAGATTGTATGTATCAATCAATGTGTGCTTAAAATAATTTTATAGAGGATAGTCAGCAACTGATATGTGGACATAATAGGATGCTAAAATGGACTTTTTGTCTCAGATTCAGCTGCAATCCTGAGATACCAATAAGTAAAAAGCAAACAAACAAACACAGATTTCTACTTCCATTTTACAAAATGAGGTACAAGATTGCCTAAGCCAGACTTGCAAAGAAGAGCACTGAAAACTGCTTTTGAGACCCTGAATTAATAACCTATTTGTAGCCCATTAAAGAGGCAAGAAAGACCAAGAAGCGACTGAAAATTAGAAAAGGATTTTTGAATGTGATGTGATTTGCATGTACCGCCAAGGCAGAAGGTTACTTTACCCTTATCTTAGGGGTGCACAGGAAAGGGACTTTAATGGAACATCTCAGAAAGTTTGATACTTGTCTCCTGGAACTTGGGGCAGTTGGGGTACTCAGCAACCCCAGTTGCCCTTGCCTGGGATTTGACACTTGCCTGAGAAATCTTCAAGGGGAGAGACTGTGACTGGCTGATGCTCTGATGGCAGAGCAAGAAGTTATTACTGCACCAGGGCTCACCTGTACATTAGTTTGTTAGAAGGAACATGTGAGCATTATACATGGACCATGGGTTAGAGAGCCAGCACTGAATTATGCTGTATTCTATCCAAGAGGTCACCTGGGGAGAGAGGTGGTGAGTAGTTAAGACAACTCAAGAGAAAGAACCTGGAGTTGCAGTGACGGGTGCCCAGGGACTGAGGCGGCAATCCTAAATGACAATCTGAAGGATGTGGTTAAGAGAACTAAAAAAAAAAAACCCACCATAATGCCCCCCAAGAGTGCCCCTCACTGTCAATCTTAAGCATGGGCTAAGCACAGCTAGACAGTTACTATTGTATTAGCCAAGTAAGATCATTTCTGCCCCTTATCTCCTCTTCTCCTGCTTCATCCCTGGAGGAGTCAAGGCGAAGAGTAAACATCGTGTAAACAAGAGGAGAAACAACCCTGCTCCCTCACCCAGTGCAAGTGGCAGCTCTAAGGCAGACCAAGCAGGGGTAAAGGGGTAAGGGACTGGCTTTAACTGAAATTGTATTTATTATTACAAAGGAGTAAGCTGAAATTACTTATGCCTAAACATGAACAGATGGTTTTTCTTATTATCTAAAAATGACCAAGGTAGTACTGAGACATTTCCTAGACTTTACTGGGGTCAGGAAGAAATATTTGACAGAACAGGCTTAAATTCCTGTTGCAACCTAGGAATCAGCTCTTTCGCCGTAACAAGTACATGGAGATACTTGTTACTCCAGAGCTGACTGTTTCACTGTCTCTTCTATTACAGTCATGCATCTTATCCCAGGAATCCTAGATGGAAAGAAATTCTTCAAGTTTCCTACTTGTTCTGATAGGAAGGCTATAGTAGGCTATTTTCATCAGAGTTCTAATCAGTAAGGAGATTCAAGTTCTGTGAATAGACGCATTACAATGCTAAAGACACAAAATGCACCAAACTCTGAAAAAGAGTCTTTTACCTTATCCGGAAATGTTTCTGCAATATGAAATGTAAAATGCTTATTTTTCTAGGGTAAAGAAATGCCCAGATTTCTCAGGGATTCATTTCTTGCAACACAGTAAAACAAACTATTAAGAAACAGTGAGAATTGCTGATACTTGGAAAGCTTCTGACTTTTAAATGATGCCCATCTTTCCCTGCATATGTTGATTCTTCAACTTCCAACATCTTTAACATCTCATGGATTCAAACTCCAGAGTCAGCTAGACCAGAACTGAATACCACCAAAGTAAGCTCAGACAATAGACTGAACCCTAACTCAGACATTATTTACCCCACCCCAGGTTGCATCAAGTCCTTGAAAAACAACTTAAGCATAAATAATAGCCAATGGGCCAATTTTTTTCCCTAAAAACAAATAAATTAAGAAAGGCATATAAACTATAAAATATTAATAACAAGCATGTTTAAAGGACCAATATTTATAAATCCATTCAGAAACTGTAAATATTCTCAAAACACATCCCTCCCATATTGACAGGATAGCAAGTCATTTTAATTATATAAATAAAACTTGCTAAACTTTCTTGCGAATAGATAATTACAATTAAAAAAAATTCATTTCAAATCCTTATTCTCTGGGATTAAATGTGACTACTGTCCCTGGCAAATTCTCATGACATTGCATTAGCAAAACCAGCAGTAATTTCACTGGACATGTACTGATTTTTCAACTTTGTGTCTTCCTTGAAATAGATAACTGGCTCACACCATAATTTCAAAAATCTATTATGAGAATATCAGTAACGAGGCATTTATAATTTAATGAAATCTTTCCATGGATTCATTAAATAAATAGTGACAAAGGTAATTACTGATTTTTTCACAAAAGCTCATTTCAGAACAAGGATTATATTATTAGACCAAGTTAAAAGGAAAAATGAAAGATGACACCGGAAAGGAACTTGAAAGTTTTAGCAAGTGACACCATAGTTAATGCATCTCTTAATTCCATCTGCAATCACATATTCATTGGAAAAATATTTGTTTTAACAAAGATCAAGATTTAATGGTATACTCAATATCTTGGGCATACTTCAAGTAGGATGTTTGTGTGTTACAGATGCAGATATATTTCAATCTATATGCGTTCGAAAAAGATAAAACAATACACATATATAAAGCTTTACCTTGTGTATGGCATGCACATATGTCCACTGCTTCTTTTCCCCTACTCTGGGATTGTTATGAAGAAGCGTTTGGCTCAACTATGTCCAGGAAAACAGTAAA